GGCCAGCATTAAGGCAAGTTTACTGAGGTGACAGCTGGGGGAGGCTTTGAATATTTCAAAATGATGGATAAATGCACAAGAAAAATCACCCAGATGAAAGCAAAAACAGAAAGACAGAGACCAAAGTGGTCTGCTGACCCTGCATCTACAGATACAAGTTTCATTTAAAAGGAAATTCAAGTTCTATTACTGGAACTTTTGAAGCAAGGTGTGCACAAACATGCCAAATCCTGCAGCCTTTCCACACCAGAAGCCTTCCTCCAGATGTTCCTTGTGCGCTCCTGACTTGATGCCTGGGGTTTTTTTTTTTCTCTTTTTGAAGTGGCGTCCCATTTCCTGTGCACAAAGACCATTCCCTGTTCCATTTTTGGGCTAAATAGAAAAATCCTTGATTTCTGCTTAATATCCATCTCTGCTCCTGATTGGCTCCAACTCCCTTATTCTTACAGGGCCTTTTGGTCAGAAACTGGCTTTACAGAGCAGGCCATGAAAATGTAGATGCGCAGCCTAATTGTAACTCAGTCTGGGCTGTTCCCCTTACTGAAACAAAACAAATCACACTGAAAAGTGAGATACAGTGTTGGCTCTCAGGGAAAAGCCTGCAGCGCTTCACATGCCAGGGCACAGCTCCACATATGCTCTGCAGCCTCTGCCCTACCCCACAAGCAGTGATGGCCACCGTGGTCTTCCCAGAGCAATTCCCAGCCCATCCCCCCCCCCCCCCCCGAAAAGCTCAGCCAAACCATTCCTGGCTCATTCATCAACCCCGGGAACATCACACAACCCCCACCGTTTTTCTGACCCTCCCCACAGATGTGCACGCTGCAGAGAATTGTCAAAGCGTGGCCCTATACTCCAGCAGATGAGTGATTTGCAGCGGAAATGGGTTTGGCTCTGATTTGTTTCCGGGAAATGGGCTTCTGACTCCGCCAATATCCCTGGGAACGCTGCCAGCCTCTTCAAAGGGGCCAAGCCTTGCTCTGTAAGCTCACCTCTGGGGTTTGGCTTGCAAACACCGATAGAGGCGCCGGCCATCCCAGGAGGGCGATGGAGGAGAGCAGGGCTCAAAGTCCAAAGGGTGATGCTGCCCATGGTACATATCTGAGCAAATACTGCTGGAGAAACAGCGTGATCAAGGTCATTAAGTACAGCCCTGCCCTTGGCTGCAGCATCAAGGCAATGGCTGGGAAGCTGCATCAGCCCTGTGTCAACTATCGTGAAGGAATGACAAAATGAAAGGTGTCCAAGAGGAAGGCTCACACGTGCCTCTTAAATATAACCTCCAGCTGCCACAGCCTTTCCTGACTTCCCCATGGCGCTGGGCACTGCCCAGGCTATAACTGTGCTGCCTTCCCAGGAGGAGGGAATGGGTTGGGGGGAGAAAATGGGATAAACCCGGTGATTGCAGGGGATAAAATTAAGGGGAAGCAGTGTTAATGCAAAACCGGAGAGGTGGGTTGCCCTCAGGAAAGGATGAAGGAAGGGTGATGTGCAGAGCCAGTGGGATGAAGCTGCTGGGCTTGGTCAAGTCCTGGCTGAGTGTCTTGGGGTGACCAGGGGCTGGACTCAGACCAGATGTCCATGGGAGATGGCAGAAACCCCCCACAGGCTCGTCTCAGACCCCTCTGCCCAGATAGAGATGAATGCCAGGGTAGATTCAATGCTGTGAAGAAGCCCAGAGCCAGGCCCCTAGGAAGAGTGTTGGGAGCATCCTGTATCCCATGAGGGATCTGAAAAGCGGCAGGGAGTGCTCAGAGGGGCTGTCTAAGATCAGTGGCCCCATCCTCAGCGCGGGGGAGCTATCCTTGAAGGACAGAGGAAGCACGGGTGCGGAAGGGAGCGGGCAGACAGGGTTGGGGTCCCCTCATACGGCAGCAGCAGACTCGAAGCCCTCGGCGAGGCAGCCCGTGGGGGAGGCACCCCTCCCCAGACCCTGGCAAGCTCCGGGACCCTCGCGTGTGCCGGGACCCCGGGCGGGCCGTGCGCGCAGCCCCGCGGGCTCGGGCGGGGAGCGCGGCCCGGGGGGCGGGCGGGAGGCGGGGCGGGAGGGGGCGGCGGGCCGGGCTCCCCGGGGGAGGCACCGGAAGGCGCCCGGCGCTGATTCATTGCAATAAATTGTTCCCATCGCGGCACGGTTCGGTCATCACCGCCCGAGCAGCAGTCGGAGCAAGAGCCAGAGCCACCGCCGGGGAACGAGGATGAAGATGCAAGCCGAGGTGATCCGCGAGGGCGAGCTGGAGAAGCGGAGCGACAGCCTTTTCCAGCTGTGGAAGAAGAAGCTGGTGGTGCTGACCAAGGACAGCCTCAGTCTCTTTCCCGACGGGCACAAGCGGGCCAAGGGCAAGGAGCTGGGCTTCGGCTCCATCCTCAAGGTGGACTGCGTGGAGCGCACGGGCAAGTACATCTACTTCACCATCGTTACCAAAGACCGCAAGGAGATTGACTTTCGGTGTCCGGACCAGAGCTGCTGGAACGCCTCCATCACCATGGCCCTCATCGACTTCCAGAACAAGCGGGCCATCCAGGACTTCAAGAGCCGCCAGGAGATGGAGCAGGCGGCGGGCACCCAGGAGCGGCGGCTGGCCCGGGCGCCCTGAGCCTCCTCCGCCCGCCCGGCCGGCCCGGCCCCAGGTGAGCCCTCCGGCCCCTCGGCGCTGCTGCCGCCGCAGTTCGCGGGCTTCTCGCTTCATCTTTTGAAATTATCTTACTCCCCAGCGCCCGCTTCGGGCAGCCGGACGGGCAGGGGGCTCCTCTCCGGAGGGAACCCCCGACACCGAGCCCCGACAACGCGCTGTGCTGCCCTGCCCGGCCATCCCCGTCACGGCGCGGTGCTGCCAGCGCGGGGCTCCCGGGGAGCGCTGCCCTTGCCCCGAGCCATCGCACGGGGCTCCCGCGGAGCGCTGCCCTGCCCGAGCCATCGCACGGGGCTCGGCTGCTTCTCTGATGCACTGCGGGGAATTTCTGCTCGGAGCCGGGCTTTGCAGTGTGCTGAGAGCACGACACGTGGGGGTGGCGGGGAATAAGAAACAGCACTTGGCAGTGCTTTCCTCACAGAATCTGCTAAAAAAAAAAAAATCTGTGAAAAGAAATGCTTACTCCCCCTTTAAAGCCCCCCCTTTTTTCTTCCTGTGCCTTGTTCTGCGGCTTAACTAACCCACGTCCTCTTGCTACCTTTTAGAGCATACCACTGGACGATAAACCAGATCGAGTGTCTTGGACTGAAATGGGACAGGGTACCAATGAAGGAAAGCAACGAAGAGAGCTGGAAGCAGCTTGGTTTTCTCCAAGCCCGTTGTGGCTGCTGAGCAAAGAGCCCTGAGCTTTGCCTGAGATGCATATAGAAAAACCAAAGACTTTCGTACAGGACTTCTAGCAAAATGTCCACGTGTTTTGAGTGGCACAGCTTTGTGAACTATTATCTTCTATTTATGAGATGCAAGGAAGATTCAATACTGACTGGTGGTGTTAAACACAGTTTAAATTATTTCTAGTATCTATATTTGTATTTATTTTGTTGAATGTCTTTCAGCAGTTACTGGTCTTAATATTGCTTTTGCATTAATGTGTCCATTCCAAATAAATTACTTGAAATGTTCACTTTTTATTACTGTACTCTGGGCTGCAGTAACTTTTGTTGAGGCATATCTGTGGATACAACAGTGGTGAAGTGGCATAAAAAGAGTGGGTAAGGCTTGGCTTTTTTTAGTGCCCTGGACTGGGCAGTGGGAGGTGGAGAAAGCCCAGATAATCTGTTTGTGTTTGACCTTGTCACCCGACCAGGGAAGGAAAATGTGTTAAGGTTCAGTTCTGGTCAGTGGTGGAGATAGAGAAGTCTACCATAGCTTGCAGAAGTGCTCCTCTAGAAGCTCTTTCCCATAAAATCGAGTAATGGCAGCAGCAGAAGGCGCATGAGCTACCTGCCACGGGAAAATGCTGCTCTTTTCGTCCTCCCCCAGCCCCCATAGCTTAGTGCTATGCTAAGGCAAAAACTGGATTCTTGGTTTCGGAATAAGAGCGCCAACGCTGCATGGATTCCTCAGCTTTGTAGCAAAGCAAGCTGAACTTGCTCTCCTCTCTTCCTTCAGCTCTGCAGTCTCTAGACAGAATTAAATTTCTCCAGAATAACTGAAGAATGGAGGCAGGCTCTTTTACTATAGGATCCTGAGCAAAAAGCTTGGATATATTTTTTTTGGATAAAAGTGCTGAAGTTTTCTTTTGTGAGGCTCAGTTCTCACTAATGAACTTGAGCTTCCTCGAGAGCAATGCTGCAGCACACGATTCAGCTCTGGCAGTCAGGACTGTGAGCGTAGTGGGCAAAGTACTCGCTCCAAACTTGGTCATTTCCAGCAGGTAATCTCCCCAATATCAGCCCAATTCCTGCGGGAGACTTTGTACTAGGGGAAGTTGCAAAGTATGTAATTACATAAGCCTGTAGTAAGAGCAAGAGAGACTCAGTACAGGGAGGGGAAAAAACCTGGAAGGAGGGTTGTCCCAGTTTCTGGAAGCAGCAGGGAGGCTCTGGCACTGCAGCCCGGTACGGCAGGGCTGTGCATCCTCCTTGCTGGCACCTCGTGCACAGGCAGGGTTGCACATGACTGAGAATGGATGTAGCAAACCTCTGGCCACAGTATTCGAAAGCCTTTGGCCTCAGTGCCCCCTCTGACCTGAGAATGCTGGAGATGCATTTAATACGGCAAAACAACACTCAAAAGCAGATGTTTTACCCATTTTTTCTGGGCGCTGAAATAAAAGGTCAAACCAGAGTAAAGGCACTGGCTCCTAATCCCTTCAGTTTCAGTGAATCCAAGCTGGAATGCTGTCTGACAACAGCTGAGGGTTGGGGGCTGTTGCCTGCCACGACAACCACTGCTGTGGGGGGGAATGGGAGGAACCCGATAGCTCCAGGGTTCCCGTGGCCCCCAGTTGCTCCAGCACAGCTCCAAGACCTTTGCAAACTGATCTGTCCCTTAGTCTAGAAGAAAATGTAGACAAAACGGAAGGATTGTTCAAATTGTTTTATTCTAGGCTTACGGAATCAAAAATAAAACTCAAGAATTTGTTTCTATGGAAAAAATAAGGGAGTTACTTTCTTACAACTGTATTATTGGCTTTTCACGTCTCCCAGTGGGATTTTACTCTTCAAGAGGTAAACAAACAAACCTAAATTGACCACTAGCTGTAAATAGCCGAAGGAGGAGACTCCAAATTGTTTATATAAAACTCCACCAATGGTTGGACCCACCGTCCGGGTCAAGGGTTGCACTGAGGCACAAATCCCAAGCATGGCACCTAGGAGAGACGGCAGAGACACACAGGGTGAGAATAAGTCCTGGCATGGAAAAGCAGAGAAGAGCACACAAGGTCCCCTTCGTCCCTGATACTGCTCCCCTGCAGCAGCAAATTAGCAAATCACTTCAAATAATTTCTTGCATTAATTTACAGCCGTCCAATTAGGGTTTGTTCTGGCTAGGGAACAGGGACCAGTGTCCACCAGGAGCAAGCTCAGCTCTTCCCTGAGTGGTCTGGGCAATCACAGCACTGCCCAAAAGGCAAAGTGAGTGCTCACCACTGCTGTCACCAGGGTCCAGAGAAGCTTTAGCACCAGAAAGTGCTGCTGAGTATTACACCTGGCAGGGCTGGTAACTACTGCATGGGATTAGGGATGGAGATGTAATTTATAGGGTCACGTTTGAGCCTTCCTAGCAAATCACACAGATTCTTCCAATCTCCTAATTACCTGAGTGGGCCCTGCTCCACCCAAGCTACTACTGCCATTTATTTCCTAGTCTGAAATAGAGAAACAGCTCTCTAGCAGGAGTGAGAGGGTTAGGCCTAACTAGGTCTTTAAGAATAAATAAATAAACCCACAGATAAAGACAGAATTGCCTTGAGATATTCCCCCCCACTTTGCGAGAAGAGCGGATATTTCTATTTGGATGGATATGCGAGCCCTTCACCCGGCTGGGCCAGTTCCCCCTCCAGCAGCTCCCACATTTGCATCCTTAACAGGAACACAGAGGATGGGGAAGCACCTCCAGTTTGGCAAAGGCCAGGCTTTTTTCCACGTGCGGATGGATGGCCAGGACATCCCCTGGGATACAAGGCTGTCCCCCACACACCCAGAATGCTCTTTTGTCCTGCAATCTTTGTTCCGGACAGCCGTCATGTTCAGAGGAGCAGAAAATACTCAGCCAGCTAGCAAATCATTAGCCCCCAACACTGAGAGGAACAGTAAGCTGGCAGTGTATTCAATAAACTTGTGCCCAGCTCTGAAATGATGCTTGCAATTATTTTTTTACTATCAGTATGATTATTTGGGCTGCTGGCATCAGTTTTCCACTAAGACACACGCTGAGGTGTTGTCACCACACACCCGGGGAAGGATGAGGAGAATGCTGTCCTGTATGCAAGAAGAAATGGAATAGAAGTGTGATATTTAACGTCGGCAGTCATGGGGAAATGATGCCCAGCTCCCAGAGAGATCAGGCAGTCAGGTGTTCGTGTAATGCCGGGCAGAGACTGCTGGGCTTTTATCAGCGTGCTTAAAATACTTGTGCAATGAGCCCCAGCCAAGGGTGTAACCATGTGGAGAGGGAAATCTCCCGGGAAGCGCTGCCGAGTGCTCCTCCCACGCATGGGAACACAAAGGCGATGGGTGGGACCTTGCCTTGACCCTTTGCCAATGGGAACCGTCCCACAGCCTCCTAACTCTCTGGGCAGGTTTTGCAATTATTTTTTCCCCTCTAGGTATTTGAATTAAACTAATTACTACGTGCAATTGCCAAACTGGCTCTTATGATTGAGGAGGCACTTTTTTCCCTTTCCTTTTTTTTTTTTTTTTTTCTCGAGCAGAAATCCATCGTCTTAAAAGGCTGGGCTCTCCCTCTCACTTCTCCAACATGCTGCTGAGAAAGATAATTTCTGTTTAATGGCTTAAATTAGGTCCCTCGTGTCAGACACCCTCAGGCTTTGGGGCATTGTAAATCCCAGCTCTGCAGCGTGGCCGTAGCTCTGTGGCAGAGCCACACATGTGACAGATCTCATTTAAGGCAAGACCTCTAACTGGGACAAGTCACCGTGTCAGCAGAAAATTTCCTGCATTGCTTCGCGCAGCTCTGCCAACGCACATGCTCACCTTCTTTGTCATAGCTATCTCACCTTCTGCATCTTCCCTGCTCTTTCCTCTCCCTCCATGTTTTTTCTGTTCCTTTTTCCCATGCCTGGCATAACCTGTGCCGGCTGGGAGCCCATCTTCCCCTCACATCGCAGATCTCCTCTGCTCCCCCAGGTTTCAGGGCTGGGTGCTGGCGGCCCTCCAAGACGGGCGACTCCTTTCCAGCTCACATCCTGTTGCCTCGCTCAGATGATGCTGCTGGCCCAGATCAGCCACACGCCCATGGGGCAATCGGGTTTAACCACTAGGTCACTGTCACCAGCGGCCGCCTTTGAACCCGCAAAGCTCAAGCAAAGCTGGGGGTTTCAGTGCCCCGAGCCCTGCCTGGCTGCAAAGTCTCCTCCTCAGGTTCTGACGCACAAATAAGATCAGGACACATGGGCCTGTTACGCACAGAAGCTCTGCTGGGCTTCCTGCTTCCCTCCCTCAGGAATGGGGGGATCTGTGCAGGAACAAGACCTCCATTCTTGGGGAAGGACCAGGCTTGACAAGGAGTACTTGTGTGAATGCAAATTCCCCTGGGCTCCGGGCTGCCCTCCCACCAGCTCACGTGTCCAGCTGAGCAGCCTGTGTGAGTGGAGCTGAATTTTCTCTTCCTGCCTTTGAAGCTGAAGAGAAGGGGAAAAAAAAAAATCAAAGGGAAACTAATTAAATAATTTCTGCTACCTTTGCTTCTGCGCAAAGCCTGAGCTTTGAGAGCAAGCGCCAAACCCATCACCCTAGGAAGGAAGTGACCTTGGATCGGATCTAAAGCAGGCTGATAGGTGCAAGGGATGGTGCCGTACCGCCTCCCACCGCTCCCTTTCCTGAGACGCCTATTTAAAATACAAGGACGGGTGACTCAGTGTCTAGCAAGGGCGGACAGGCTACACTCCTACAACACCCGTGCTGAGATGGACACGTGAGCTCAGCCCAAACTCCTTCAGAAAGCCTTTTCCTGACCTAAAGAAAAACCTCCATTGGTACTACAGGCCAGAAGCTGAATAAAAACATCAGGAAAAGACAGCAGCAAGGCTCAAAAGTGATGCTTCCAAGGGCAGATTCTCAATGTGTGATCTCCTTGCATTAGCTAAAAGTTGTTGCAAGTGAGTGTCGAAGTTTTCAACACAGCGACAGCAAAGCTTTTCCTAAAACCAGATTTCCATGCTCTCAATAAGGGATTCTAACGTGCCGCCAAAAACCTCTGTCTGCAGAGCCAGTCTCGGGCTCGCAGAGGAAGGAGCAGCCTTTAGGAGCAGCCTGTATGGGTGGAGCAGCCTTTGTGGGGTGCCACCCACGGCCAGGGATGGATGGCAGGCATTTTAATGGCTGCATTTCTCTGCAGACACCCACGCCGTCACTGCTGCAGCTGCTGTGGAAAGGCAGCCTTGCCGGCTCTGCTGTGTCAGGCATTCCTGCCTCAGCCCCGGCCCCTGCCCGGCTACATCCAAAGCAAGCACAGGACCATTAGTACCTCTTCCCCCAGAAATATTGGGAGGAAAAAGCACAATTTGAAAGGTGAAGGCCAGGGAGAAGTGGGAGAGAAAAGGTTGCCCCCAGTGCCACAATGCACTGTTGAATGCCCAGTTTTGAGCCAGCTGTAAGTCTGCACTGTAGTAGCACCCAGCATGACATGAGCCCAGGATGGACAGGCAGCAAAAGCTGCCAGTAGCCCATGGCATCCCCTGATGACCTGCAACCTGCTCCTGAGCATCTGCACAGCTCTGCAGACTGCCTCCATCCTCCATCCCTGCAATCCTGCTTCACCATGGGAAGACCATCCCTCTTGCCGAGGCATGGGCTGGCCTAAAAACATAGGCAAGCAGGGAGCAGGGTGAGGCAACTAAACTCATTTTCCTCTGACCAAAGCTTGCCTCTGGGCTCCAAAAGCTAAGCACTGCTCTGGTTTTTGTCACAAAACCCCTTTGAGAAGAGCCTGGATGAATTCCAACTCGGTTGTATGTCCCAAAGCCTCTTGGTGCTCTTCCCCCCTGGATCTCCCTCACACGAACATTGCTCCAAGTCATGAAGCAGCAAATTTTCTTCCTGGCTGAGCAAAGGGGCTGAGACTCTTCCCAGGGAGGTGAAGACTGGGGATAAATGGTCCTCACAGGTAGAAATATCCCACTTGAAAATCACAGGCTCCCAGCATTTGTAGGGGATGTAGTGGGTCAGCTCTGATAAACTACTGAAGTGATTTTCAGAAAAGCTCTTCACCCAGAAACATCTCCAAAGTGCTTTATAAACTTCAATAATGGGCTGTGCAAACTACAGCTCCCATTCTTGGTAGGGTCTGCACAGAGGTATCTGCTCAGACAGCTGCTAGGGAAGATGAAGGGTGCAGACTGGCACCCCGGAAAGCCTCAGCTAAAGCAAAGACTCTCTTGGGTACCTGCTCTGGGAGCAAACGCTGAAAGGGCTTGAGCAAAAGACATCAAACCAGGTTAAGCCAGCTCCATCCCTGCACAAACTCAGCCAGGCTCCCAAGACAATAATGTAGGCATATTTCCTTCATCAATAGAACTAAAGCCCCAGGTATAAAGACTTAAGTGTCTACCACTGCTGTCTTGCACAGAGAAATGGAGGAACTCTGACTGAAACAAGGCCGAAACAGAGAGAGGGGGCAATTATTGCATCAGTCAAAGCATGTTTGCAAAGAGTAATCCAGAATGCCTTCCTGAGATACCCCACGTTAAAACGTGTGAACAAGCAGCCCTCTCTGACACTGCCACAGTGGAAGAGCAGTGTTTTTTGTTTTTCTTTAACATACTTTGGCTTTCCATGGAAAAGAGAGCTTAGAAAGCTCTTTCCGTGCCCACCACTATGGATGTCAGCAGGCAGCACAGGACTGGGAGCACCAGGTCGTGGGATGCTTGCTCCAGGTTGTTCAAGTCCATCCTGTATCAGCCCCACCAGTCTCGTTCATCTGCTCTGCTGACAGCCACCGTGTGCCCAGCCAGAGCTGAGTGTTCACGCAGTGCTCTTGAGGCCCCAGTGCTCCAGAGCTGTGCTGGGAGCTGGGAAGTGCCCAATGGCCTCAAAACTGAGAAAATACCAGTCTGACCTTTCTTGATGAGTCTTACCAGTGTCAGAGGAGGGCACAGCCTTGGTGAGGATGCTGTCAGTGATGGTGGCCAGCATGCTGAAGGCAAACACCAGCGGCACTGCAATGATGCAATAGTGCCACACAGTCCTCATCAGGGCCTAAGGGACAGGACACAACAGAACACACATCACTCAAGAGCACAAACAGTGACTCTGTGGCAAGAAACAACCTGGAATAAAACCACGAGTCAAACCCAAGACTTAGGGAAATGATGGGAGCCACAAATGATCTGTGGTGGTGCGGCTTTGGCCATTGTGGGGTCTTTCACAGCCTGCCATTTGTCTGCAGTGAATTATTCCAAGCATGCAGAGCAAACGATACCCTACAATCTGGCAGCACGTTTCCCCAGCACTGCTGTGAGTATTTTTAGCATCTGGGAATTAGTGACGTCCCTGCACTCTTCCCCCTTCTGTCTTCTGTCCAACTCCCGAGGAAATGTTGAACAGCAGATGTATGTGGTGTACTTCAGGAAGCTTCCATTACTTATACAAAACAGCCTAGAGAAGGCTTTTTGGTTCATTATCATAAATAATTAAAACTAAACCGAGCCTGTCAAAATAAATGAGCGCGGTGCGTTATGTAACACCATACCTTTGGGATTTCTAATCCTGTTCTGCTGCTTCCCTGCTAATAAATTCACCAAATTCAGTAATCTGGAATAGGTCTTCTGGCCATGAGCACACATTAGCGAGCATAATTAGGGAGAGTAATGATTTTGTTATTGCACATATTCTTAGTGGAGACATCCCTCCAGCTGTTTAATGCTGAAACAAAAGCGGTGAGGCTCCCTAAGCTGTAGGGCTGGAGCAGCTTCCAGCTCATTCACAAGCCCTGCTGGTCAAATGAATGGATTTCTCTGGGGCATGGAAAGGAAATTCCCCCTTTATTGCAAGTCTCCTGCCCTAACCCATGTCTCAAGGTGTATTATTGTGGCTGGGAAATATTTCTGTCACTGGTTTAGCCAGAAGTTTCATTCTCTGGAGTTCTCTGTCCTAAGATCTGATCCCTGCCTCTTGGCTACAGAAGATGGAGAAGCCCAGAGACATCGCTCACTAATGACTTGGAAATGTTGAGGTTTATTCCTAGTTCCCCTCTAGAGTCACACACAGCCAGGTTTTTCTCCTCAAAGGGGCTCTTTGCCTACATTTTGGTTAAGATCTAGGCACTCCTGATTAAGGAACCAGAGAACAAAGACAGAGGAATAGGAATTTGGTACATAAACAAAAGGAAGGAGAGTAATTCCTTGCTAGGGCAAATGTCATTGCAGGACAACATTGAGGAGCTCATAGGAAAAATCAGTTTTAATCCCTCCTGCTTTGTACACACTCTCTCATGGGCTGGAGCTAGTGAGCAGAAAAGAGCAGAGGCATATCTGTGTCTCCTGTAAAACAAGGGGAAATAGCTCCTCACTTCCCTGGGGCTGAGGGAGAACTGAGCCAGGCAGAGCCCAGTCCTTGCTACTCCTCAGATGCTGGGTGGTGAGTAGTTTTTATGAGATGAGCAGATCTGAAGGCATTTTTTAGGTGAGAGGCAGAATCAGAAGTCTCAGCAGACAACTTGAAAAACAAATGCCTGGGAAATGCAGGCAGTGAGGCGGGATGAGGTACAGCCGTGCCTTCAGTCAAAGGGAAAAAACTTCCCCATCGCAAATGCCAAGCCCTCCTACAGCCCTGCCCACGCTCTCCCAGCTCACATCTGCAGATCAGACTCTGCTTCTTCCCTCCTCCCTTTATCCAGGTGTTATTGCCCATCTCCCAGCCCACCCCTTCCCTTCTCCAGCTGCCTGTTGCTGGGAACATCCTGCAGCCTCTTCCCAAGCTGCAGTGCTGTCTGCTGCTGCTTGTGCCAGCCTTCCAAAAACACTTCAGCCCACCTCCCCTCCCTCTGATATCAGGACGGGTTCTGGAGTGTCTTTTATTAACAGCTAGCCTTTCTCCTCACTTCCATCCTTTGGGGAGGGAAACTGCTGCATTTAGAGGCCACATGCTGCAAGAGCACAGCAGGTGGGACGCTCCTCCACCAGCAGCTGTGAAGGATTAAAAGCTTCACCCAATAACTTCTGCATTTGGGGCTGCTGCTGTGACAGCACTCATCCCCACTGAGACAGAAAGCCACCCTAGAAGCGGGTGTTTCCTCAGCAGCCCCTTGGACAGAGCGCTTTTCAACAAGTCAAAGTCCTGGGCAAAGAGGATCGCAGCTGCATTTGCCTATGAATAGTTCTCATGGGAAGTCACTGCTGACCCTGGTCCCCAGGCCCGTGCTGTCAGGATGTCCACAGCCCTCCGGGCTTGGCATAATTACTAATTCTAAGATGATTTCCCTTCCTGGCTCCTGGCTCTCCTCCCTGTGCAGCCAATGTGAGGCTTCCTGCACTGCAACATCTGTGCTGCCCCGTGTGCCCCTCCACTGCCATCGAGGCTTTCTCTCCTACCTCCACCTGACTCCAGCCTTCCCTGGAGGTCAGTGAGACCTCAGTGCACGAAAGCCATATAATTCATGGTTTTGGGACTGGGCTTCAGCACAGCACAGTCCCAGCAGCACCTGCCCTGCACCTGGCTGGGGGTGCTCATCTCTCCAGACAGGCCAGGTCCACCTTGGTGTCACCTAATTGCTCCCACTCATGACCAAAAAACAATGGGGAGATCTTCAAAGTCCTTCCCAGGCCATGCTCAGGAGCACTAAGCTCTGTGCAGATGTCCCATGTTAAGGGGGCATATTGATTTCAGCCAAAAGAGCATGACACCAATTGGAAGAGACCCTTCCCAAGCATTCTACACCTGACAGAACCCCTGGGAGCCTCAAAAACCCCAGGGAGAGGGACCAGGCTCCACCTGCAGAGCCAACCCTTGGTCTGCACCCATCCTTCCTTTGCAGCCTCATCCCAGACATGATTTAGCCTCAGATTAGCTAGGGTGTGTAGGTGCCTCATCTCATCCATGTAGCTGGGAACCACAAACCTCAACACCCTCCAGGACTTGGCCTGACCTCCCCATGGCTGCAGCATGGTTGTGGAAATGGCACTCATCCTACCTGCAGCAGTGAGAGCACCAGCGTCCTAGCATCAAGGCTCAAGGCCAAATCCTGCAGGGAATGTTGAAAGGCTGATGCAGCTTCATTGTCCTTTGGGTCCACTGCACTGACAGGGACTGCAAGCACCTTTCCTCCATCCCCATGGCCCAGGCAGAGCTATCAGTGCCCTGGACATGGCTTATCTGAGCAAACACAGTTCCCAGCACAGCTACCTACATCCACTCAGTTTTCCAATTAATATTTGAGATTGATCAGCTGTCACCCATACGGACACAACCAGCAACAGCTAGCATCACTTATCCCAAAATGGAGGAACAAAATTACTGCCTTGCTACCTCCTTCCCCAGATACTCTCATGTTGGGGGATTAGATAAAAATAATTCCACAGAAGGAGAGTGCACAACCTCTGCTGTCTCACTGCAATATGCAACTGCAATAATTTTTCCCCACCGTAATCTTCATTTACTTTCTGGGTAGTCCAGGAAATGCAGTCACTGACAAGACCAGGCCAGGATTTCTGTGCAAATCTGGTGACTCAGGAGGGACTTAGTGAGTTTCTGTGCAAGATTAATTTATTTTTTAATCCCCGTAACTATTACTCACACGGCTCTTTATCATGGTTTGGTGCAGTGCTGACGTTGAGCGCGGCTCTGTTTGTGCAGAGGCCCAGCAGAGCTGGTTTTCCCTGCCCTGAAGACCCCCAAAGAGAGCCAGAGGTGGCATTTCCAGGGGCGAAGCTCACAGCCAGGTCTCACAGGCCTTGTGTTTGTGACATTATTAAAGGCATTCTGGGTGATTTCCCACCCGCCTTACCATGCCTAGGCCCACACCAGCAAAGACAAAGACGCTGAGTCGGAGCAGGGTCATCTCTGTGCAGTGACTAGCGAGCTTCCCAACCACCAAACCCTGGACAACCTGGCAAAGAAACACATAAGCACCATTAGGCCTGATATAATATAATAATTTAAACAAACGCAAAAGGGAATTGCTACTTTCATCAAGCAAACAGGTTCTTCCATCAGGGTTTCTTTGATAAAAAAGGACTTCACTGCCACAGTAAATGACTGGAAGGCGGGATCCATTATTTCAAGTGTTCTGCCTTCTAGGGGAGAGATCCATCCCATAAGCTGGAAGCTTCACTCAGGGTGCATGCCTGAGTTTATCATCACTGCCTACTCAGCAGCAGTGACTGAAACTTTCTAAAAATGCTTGCAGATACAACTTGTGATGTGTGAAATAGATGGGATATGTGTTTGTGAAATACAGTTAATACTACAGTCTTCATTCTTGGCAAATCCTCTCAAAGAAAAACTGTACATTTGTAAGCAAAGGAAAATGCCTGTAGTACCTTCTCTTGCCATTATTTTGAACTATAAATATGCAAATTGGGTGGTTCATAATTTTTAGGCGGGAAACAAGTATGACAGAGATGCTAATATGCAGTCCCAGCAGTACACGCAGATGTAAAGGGTGGGGAACTGGTTCTACCGATTTTAAACAAAAACTAGGGGGGAGGGAAGAGGGAAGGGAAGAGCAAAATATTAAAATCCCAGAAATTATTTGACTTTTCCAGCACTTTGCAGAGAAGGATTCCCTCTTTTTTTAATCTGTTCAGCATCTCCCATACTTCAAGTGAACCTGGCACAAGTGGACATGAGAGGAGAGAGGCAGGAAGAGATCATGGTTAAAAAGTCTGACTGACTGCAATACAGGTAAGAGACAGGAATCTACTGAGTTTTCCCTGCCTTAAAGGGTTTGTTTGATCCAAATGAAAACCCCTCTGACTTGAAAGAGGAGCTCTAGTTCAAAATGCTTTGTTTGGTGTCTTTGGTGGGCTTTCTTTCTGTGGCAGTCCATCTTGGAGAAAACTTCAGTGGTCTTCTTGGAGCAGGAATGATACTACACTCCACTACAATACACTCAACCTTGTTGTGTTAGTCCTGAGGCAAAAACCCAAAGTCAGCTGAAAGGAAATGAGTGCAAAATAAATGGGAAAGCAAGTAAGTTGTTAAACAGAATGGAAATGTTAGTCTATAATAACCAATCAAAAAAAAAAAAAAAGGCAAATAGCAATAGAATGAAAATGGAGTTGACATAAAGAACAATAGCTACAAAATTAATGTATTTCCAACAGCACACAACTGAATGGAAAACCATCAAAATTCAACTCTTCACTTTGCTTCAGAGCACAAAGGATTTTTGACATGAGGGCACATCACGCCAAGAAGACATTCTAGCTCCTGCCTCTCCTTTTTTGTCATTGTCTCTGCCTTTGGCCAGGGCTGGAGAGCTTGGCTCACGTGTGCCCAGTTGGCACACTGGCACAGGCTCTGCTGTCCTTCCCTGGCCGTATCACCTGTCAAGTGGCCTCCAGGTGGACCTGCTGTGGCACGAGGCTTGGACAATGCCTAGGGTGACCTGAGTCATCCTGACCAAAAGCCCTGCCACGAGAGGAGGCTGATACCAGCTCCAGCAGCTCCTACTCTGGGGGTGGGTGGGGAAGCCACTGAGTGACGCTCCATTAAGCTGAGTGCTCCAAAAAGGGAGACTCGTCATTAACTTTTTGCAACTTCCCAGTCCCTCCTACAGCTGGGGCTGTGCTGAGTCACATGGGATGGGGGCTGAGCCTTGTCATAGGACATGGATTGACTCAAGGATGGCATCACTTGAACCCCGGTTCGGCTCTGCTGAGCCATTGGAGGAAAGGAAACATTTCCCAATTTGCCCAGACTTGAATGGCATATTTTATTGGGATGCACTGTGCAGGCACAGCCCAGGCCCTGCCCTTCCTTGAGTCATTATGGTATATCATCAGCAACATCCCTGGTCTGATGGCCATGGGAGTGGCATTCCCAAAAACGTTACCATCACTGCACATGAACCCGTGCATGAAGGCAACAGGCACCACTGCAGCAGCGACAGGCTCTGGGCAGGCAGGACCTAGAGAGGTGCAGAATGAGCAGAGCACAGGGATGGTCCTCATGCCAGTGCTGGCGTTCCCTGTGGGCTTTCCCACCACTTGGGCTGTGGAATAAAAGCTCCAGGTAAAACATCACTGCTGAATCAACCAGCTTGGCAAGGGGACTATTTCCAAAGGCAAGAATGAGCCCAAGTCACCTGCTTTCCCCTTGGGGCTGGGCAGCAATCCTGAGGTTGTACAGATGGGCTACCTGGGCTGCCTGCCTTCCTCCCCAGCACGGGCGCTGCTGATCTAGCAATGCCTGCCAATCCCAGGCAGGCAAGGCCCATCACCTGAATTTGGACACAGAGCCTTGATTTAGGTGCTAGATAATATTTCCAGCCACCAGTAACATTGATCCCACTTCCCAGTCTGAATTCAGACCTGAAAATCCATTACTTCCAGTCGGCAATTCTCCCTGAGGTCAGAGCCCCTGGGCATGAGCAGCACTCACCTGCACAGGCACATCTGGGAAGGTGAAAGGTGGTTCCTGTGCACTCTCCTATGCAAGATTTTGGACACAGTTTACCAGGAGATAGCAGAAACATCCCAGGTGACTTGGCCATCAGCACTCCCATGGACAAGCTCTGGTAGCTGATAAATGGATTTTATCCTTATTTTTATTCTTACTGGTGTGTTCTGGACTTTTTCCTTGCACATAAACTCCTTTTGAGATTGACTTCGGTGGGCCTTACCCTCCTGCATTTCATTTTGCCTGGATGCTACTTGCGTTTGTAACCTGACCGCCTTTGAAGTCGGGGAAGAGCCAGTGTACCTGGCTGGAATGCCTTCTGCCATCAATAAACAAAAGAGAGAGGAAATTGTTTGCAAGTGAAATAACAGGCACTGCCTGTGGCTGTGTACATATGTCACAGGAAAAACCAACTCATCTTCCCCCCCTTCCCCCCCCCCCCGCTTCTTTAAAGGCAAATAAGTCTCCCAGTAAATGCATAAGAACAGCCAAATCTCTGTTCATCATTTTCTGGATTCACCAAGCTGGGGATTTGTTACACTAGTCTAGCAAATCACATGGAAAAATACTCTCTTGCCTCTATCACTGCATTTGGTTTCTGGGATAACAGCAGCTCCCATTTGCTCAGAAAACCCAATTACCCATTTGACTGTTAACCTCTAACAAATTTCAGGAACCCCTTGCAGGATGGAAAAGACAGTTTGTATTTGAAAGTCCAAAGTGCCAGTTTTTGGAAGACTTTTGAAGTACCAGCCTTGCTGCACAGAGCTGCTGCTGGGCTGACTGGCACCTGCAAGAAGCTGACCTCACCTGTGGAGCTTAGAGGAGTTCTGCAGATGCTCAGCTGGCCCTCTGCACTCAGAGGACATGGCACTGAAGATCCTTCCATCAGCACTGACTGAAAGCTTGACAGAGCCCAGCAACAACATAAGCTCCCTTTCACCCGACAGCTCAGAAATGAAAAGCTGTGAGGAGGTCGGGAAGGCAGACACAGCAGGCCAGATAAGCTGGTACAGCCTTGTAGAGAAGATGCAGGGCCTCATCCCTAGCACAGATAGCATGATTCACATCAGAAGCAGCCTCCCACGCCCTGGACCCGTATCTCGCCTTCGAAATTGTGCTGGCTGGCAGTTCCCAGGAGAATTGTGCTGGCTGGGGAGGGACCTGCTGGGGCAACCATGGGGGTCAGCACAGACCACGGGGCTGCTCTGCACAAGCTGAAGGTGCTGCAAAGTCCATGCTGGGGGAAAAGGGAAAAAAACAAAAAAAACCCAGCCCATGCTGTTCTACTGGCACAGCGATGCCTGAAATCACCCGAGTAGTTGAGGTCCTGTGGAGGAGCAGGAGGGCGGTGGGACTGGAAGGAGGGCTGATGGTGAGGACCAAACTGCTGAAGGCAGCACTTTGTCAGACAGGGGGAAGAGGATGGTGTGTTTTGCAAACTACAGCCTAATCGCTTTCTTTCCCCTCCAACCCACCCCCCTCCACAGATATAAATCCTTCAAAGTGAGGAAACTGGAGAACTTTCTGTTTGTTGTTGCAAGGTCCTTTCACTAAGTGGGTTTTCCCCCTAGGCATACCTGGCTGTAATTAAATCCCCGGCTCTTTAATCATCTCTTTTGCTGTGCAGGGAAAAAAAAAAAGCGAGAGGGACAGACTGGTGATAAGATGATAGCAATGTAAATCTCTCCTCCAGGAATCTCTCTCATCTTTTCAGGATCACTCCGTACCAACTTGTCCCTCCAGAAGCTGCACAGCTAGAGGTGGAGTTTGTATAACAATACAAATTTAAATGCAGTAAATAGAACAGATGTCTTATGATTTCTTGATCCTCAGGGTTATAAATATCTACCCTTTTGTCCCACCCAGAATTCTGTTTGGTGCATTTTGCTTTGGGTTTGTTTTTTTTTTGGAGAAAAAGTTCTTAAAGGAAAGTTTCCCCCACCCCCTCCCGTGGTTTGAAATCTAAGCATCAGATGTGACTTGAGATATCAACCAGGGACTCCAGGTATTTCACTTGCCTAATCCTCCAGCAACATTTTCCGAGTGACATACTACACCTGGAAGGTCTTCATGCTATCACATTTGCAAATTCAAAAAAACCAAAAAAACAAACAAACCCCCCCCCCAAACAAACAAACAAAAAACCAAACAAAAAAACCCCAACCAAACAAAAAACACCACCTAGGCTCATTTCTGCCCATTACTCAAAATTAAATTATTTATTTATAAAATTTATAATATTTATTTAAAATAAATATTTATCATTATTATGAAATTAATTATTATCTGGAGAGAGATTGAATGGCATCAGGCATTCACTATGAGGGAAATTTCATTTGCATGACTTCTCAGATGAGAGGACTCTGAAAGTCCAGCCCTGGAGGACAGAGGGATTGTGTCCTTGATGGGCTTTCATAACTCTTGCCTGGAGACCTAGCAGTGATCAGATAAAGATGCTTCAAGCACATCATGAGCAAGGGAATCTCTGCAGTGCAGGCTGCCTGGTGCAAAGGCAGCTCTCCTGCTCTCTGCCTTCCTCTCCTCATTTTGTTATCTCCCACATGACTTCACCTGGCACAGTCCCAGCTCATCAGACAGCCCCACACTTTCAGGGTGCTTCAAGAATCCCTGCAGAGACCTGGATTGCTTGAATTACCCCCATGTGCTATTTTCATTTCCCCATCAGTCCATTCCAGCCTCGGTCATATTCCATTTTCTAAGCCACAAGTCTTATTCCTCATCAGACAGTTCTTTGTCTCAATGCTGTCTCACTAGCTTCCCACACCTCCTTTTCTGACCTTGCCTGGCTGTGTCCTGACCCAGACACGAGCCTCCCCTCCCACCCTCACTGCATTTCAACCTGCCTCACACTTTCCTGTATCCCCTGCTGTTAGATGATGCTCACCACAGGATGAGGTGAGGCTGGGGAGCTCTGGATGGGATCCCTCAGGTGATGCCTGAATTTGTGGTGTGTCTAAACTAACAGCCTCCATCTGCAAAGAGGGTAAACACCTCACCTCCTGCAGGGTCTGTGTTTCTGTGCTGATTCCCCATGCAAAGGGCTGTTTGAGATAAAAATTACCAAGAACCTGAGTTTCCAACTTAAAATTAAGTGGACTGACTCAAAGCCTCTCAAAATCTCCTCTCTAGGTACTCTGCAGCTGGCTTGAATGATAGGAGTGAGGAGAAACAGATTCTTACAGTGCATTGGCCACTTCTCACCACAGCAGGTCAAATGAGGTTGGGAAGCTGAAAAACTAGATTAAGCAATTGGAGCATAATATCCTTGGGGTGGGAGAGGAAGGCAGGAAGACACCATCACTATTTGAGTCATCCTGGGATTGCTGATCAGGCTGGGAAAGGAAGCTGCAACATTGCCTTCTGTAAGAGGAATATATAAGTTTTGAGAATATTTAATTTAAAAAATAGAAACTACAATAACACAAAGAAATACTTTCCCCCTTAATTTCTTTGATGTCCTCTTCCAGCTATAGAAGTTCTTAAACACCATTTTTTCAAGTCCAGGAAGAGATGCAAACATGGGGGACAGATTTCCTCTAACAGGAGGGCTCAGGGCAAGTCCAAGAGGATGGGAAAATCCTCACAATGATTTACAGACAGGCAAACTAAAGAATTTTAAAAAATCAAAGTTGAGTATCTGGTTGATAAAATTAACTGAAAATTACATTATATTCCCTATGAATAAAGCTATCATTTACTCAGTGAAGTGGGGAAGCCACTCAGCAGATATTAATCATTGTTCACCTACCCAGATTAGTGGAATTCACTCACACCTTAATCTGCAGTTGTACCTCAGCAGTATCAATTCACTGTACAGCAGAAACAAATGCATCTGAGGTGCCAGCTTAGGCAACACAAGCAGCTCTGGGGCTCAGCAGGACAGAGCCAGCACACTTCTATTCCCTGCCTGCTTGAGCAACCCAAACCCAAAAGAAAGCAGCCATAAAACATTAGCCCAGACACCATCCACAAGAGATATCTTTGGGTGGTTCTAGACAGATACCTGAAAGTAAAGACATGACTTTTAATGTTTTAAAATAATTTAAAAGCCAGAGAGTGAGAGTTTAATTTGGTCCAGTTGAGGATCTTGTCCTGTATAAACCAGAGTAGAGTTTGGAACTGCCACTGATGAAGTGGAAAGAAGAAGTGACAAAGCAAAAAGCAGTGCTTTGCAAGCTCTCAGGTGAGATGGCTTTGCTGTCACCAAGAATCAGGTGTCTTGGGATTTTTTTTTTTAAATTGAATGTTTTTTCCTCTTTCCATTTTGGTGTTCTGACAGCAAACCTCAATGCACCAGCATGAAGAAAAGTTTGTATCCTATGACCACTTCACTCCTATATTTCTGATGTCCAGAGCCATGCACTGTAGAATAGGCATAGCAACATGGATAGAAACTGCATGGATGTATGAAAGAAAACTGCCTGGTGATAAAAGCCGGTTTCTGTGTCAAATGTCCCAAGGCAGACTCCCCAGCAAAGTAGATGCTGCACCTGGGCCTGCAGGGCCCTGCTGTGTTGGACCGTAGCAATGGGAATGATTGGCCTCTGGGGGATGAAACTCTGTGACTCTGGGAAGGGTCAGGTCCCTGGTTTGCACTGCCATCTGATCATCCATTAGAAAGCAGAGTGGATGCTCTAATTCCCATGTCTTCCAGGGCTGTGTCTCTGTGTGGGGTGTCCCAGCAGGGCAGAGGAGGTAACCTTATCTACAGCAGTTTCAACCAAACTAACCTGGGGAACAATGGCAGTGAAGGCAGACAGATATTCCAGACATAACAGCAGTGTCCTCATGACAGATATCCCAGCCCTAACAGCAGCGTCCAGGCTCCATCTAGCAACACAAAGCCACTCCTTACAAGAGCTGCTGCTGCCCACCTTACCCAACCCTAAACAAGCACACCACAGCCATGCTGCTGCTCCAGATTCTCTTTCTGCCTGTGTAACTGGGGTTTAACTGGTGTGTCTCAAGTTAAAAGCCCAGCTGTGGGGAGTCCTTCTGCATTCAAATGGGGAAGAAGATATGGGACACTGACTTGGTCCCTCTAAAACCTGAGTGATTCCTGCAGATCCTGGTCTAGGAGGCAGCATACAAAGCTAACATAGGGAAAGCCTCTGATGGGTCAGAAGCTTGCTTTAGAAAGCAGCTGCTATCACCCCACTTTTCATGCTGTTTCCATACTGTGGGCCAGCAAACTGCTCTTCTTTCCAAACAAGCTGAATGGGACTGCATTCAGCTGGTTGGAGATGTTCACAGGACCAAGAGACAATGGTCCAAAGCCACCCTCACAGGAGGGACATGGCAAGGGCACCAAACCCTCAGCTCCTCAGCCTGTTTACTGTGCAGAATCCAGCTGCTGATGTACAGCCATGCCTGTCAGCTGCTCTACCAAGACACCCAGATTTGGTGAGACCCAGCCAGAGCCCAAGTGACTGGCAACACCATGCCACATTCAAATCACAAAGGAAGCAACTTCAGCTGCCATTCCCCAAATGAGAAGCTCCTCCAGATTCCACGGGAACTCTGTGGCAATGCCCAGGAAATGAAGAGGATTTAATAACAAGACCACTCTCCTTCAGGATATTGCTTAACTTGCATTCCTGCCTTGGGGCTTGGTTATAACCATCTGCTGCTCTTTCTGCAGAATCATTAAGCCTTTTCCTCCAAAAGGAACACTCTGCTATAACACAACACTGCACGTTTTTGACCCTGTTACTGTCTAATTCAGCTGACTTTCCCCTTTCATCCATTTTGGTAGTCTCCTAACCATGTTCCATCACCCACCTACCTTTCTGTTCCTCTGCTGTTCTTTTGGTGGTTTTTTGGTTGTTTTGTTTGGTTTTTTTTTCCTTTTTTTCTTTTTTTTTGGAATCACAAGCTTGCTGTGCTTGTTTGCATGCAGCAGAAACAAGTTCTTCTACACTGAAAGCATCTTCAGTGAAAACACCAGTAAGATTGTCTGCTTTCCTGAGTGTACTGAGTGCTACTATTATATTAATGTAAATCAACTAACCTGCACCAGGAAAAACTTCAGCCAAGGCACTTTAGCTTTGATGTAAGTTTTGTTACAAAACCCAGGATATATCAGTCCAAGGAAATTTTAGCTCTACGGCTTAAAGATTCACAAAGAGGGAAAAGGGCTTTCAGGACATTCCTTGCTCCAATTTCTTCCCATTCCAAGGAACTTGGAATTTCCAAGAAGACATTTGAAGTCACTTCTCTTTTTGAAGCTAAATGCTGTATGGCAGAGCTAGGATTGGCCTGTCAGTAATACACCTGGATTTGGAAGAGCATGTGTCCAGAAGGCAGTGAATTAGGTAGCAGCGTGGCTAATCTGTCTAGGAGGGGAATTGCACTTCACTTACCATTTGAAGGACACCAAAATATGACATCAGATATCCAGACTCCACTGCTTCCAAGCCAAAGAAATCCATAGAGATGATGGAAAACATAATCATGAACAAACCTGGAAGGAGGGTTAATGCAAAGAATACATCAATACACATGTAACAGCCCCAAACCCTGCTCCCAGTCACCACCAGTCCAAGTCAGTAACTCTCCCTGGGTTTGCCAGCACTGGGTATAAACATGAGTAGAACCCCATTCAAAGTCATTGTAGTAATTTAATCTTTAAATGTTAAATTTTTTATCCCCCTTACTTTCATCTTTAAGTAATGTGACTATGTAGGCTGTAGTTTCAGCTGTTAATTATAAACTGGTAAATATTTGTATCACTGAAGCCAGGCTAACCATTAAGACAGCAAGAAAACATTTGTTCAGACAAGACTGTAACCATAAAAATAATCTGATTGGATTCCTCACCTCTCTTGCCTGACTTCAGATATTCACTGTGGGGAGTAGCCCAGTGACATCAGCCAAAATGCAGTGGTTTCACTGCACACCTCAGCAACGATGTCTGGGGCACGTGAAAAATCTCTTGTGTGGACTGATAGCGATGTCAACACAAGCAGTCAGGAAAGTATGGACAGAAAGGGCACAGACCAGGTCTGCTTTTCAATGGAGGCAATTTCTGGAAAGTGTAACAGAGAGCCTCCACTCAATCTCAAATGAAAATACAATAGTGTGCGTTTCCCCACTGCCAAACATACACAAATACAGGCGTGCTTGCACATGCTCCCATCCTACAGAGAGAGCCATCAAATTAAAAATCTTATGTCAAAACACTGTACTTGCACACTGTGGTGTGGGGTAAGAGTCTGCTGCTTCTCCTAGTGTCTTGCACCTGAGATGGACCAAGACTGTATGAAACTGGGGCTCTCTGCATGTGAAGAACCCCACGATGTGCCTGTCAGAGATCACTGATCCTTCTGGGAGAGAAGAGACCAGATGACTTTTAGCAATCCTGCCTTTCCTTGTAAGATCCTCTGATTTATGAAGACTGGGTAAAAAGGGAGCGGTGTTCCTCTCCTTCCTGAAAAAACAGAATCCAGGAAGCAATATGTGAGGAATGAGAAGACAGCTGATGGCCTTGGCAAAGTGACATGGCATGGGGAGGATTTGCCAGCTTTTCCTGGAAGAATGAAGAGAGTGATTTCCAGGTTGCTGGTTCAAACACTGTGGAGGACTCACTTCTTAATTAACAACTCCACTGCATCCAGCAGCTCAACCCCAGCACTAGCAGTGCAGCACCTGCAGCAGCCAGGACCTCCCTCCAGGCACCCAAAGCCTTTGCCTGGAGGCAGCACTGCCCTCCCACCCCAGGATCTGCCAAAAAAGCTTCCTGAACCCCACTTGAGACACGTCCTCCCCTTTAACAGGAGTAGCTGCAGCCCAGCTGGCTCCATGGAGTTGGGAGAGTGGGATGGGGGCAGGAAGGGTGTCCTGCTCTTCTGCTCTCCAGCAATGTGGAGAAGGTGCCTGGGAGCTGGGGCTCACAAAGATCTATGGCTTTGCCACACCCCTCCACAGACAGCACCCCGTTGTTATCCAGTTACTTTGAAATCCCTCTCAGCTCAAGCCAGTTTAAGGTAACATGCAAATCCCAGTATTTACTCACAGCACCTAAATCAGGCAACAGGGTTGCACATGTTTATAAAAGGCACACGTGAAGAAATGAAAGAAAAACCACACTTGGTTTCACTTGTAGGAAGATGAGATTGAAGCTGGTGCTCGCCCTTCATCCAGCACCCCACTGCAGGTACCACCTAGGAGGGGCTCAGCCTTCCTACATACCTGATGCTTCTTCCTGGTTCCAGCTTCTACAGCTCCTCTCCCCTTTGAAGTCCCTCATCAAGTTAAGACAGATTTGGATCTTTCTTCTCCAAACAAGCTGGTTTCTTTTGGAGCAGGGGAATAGGCTGTGCTCTTTAATTAGAATTATACATTGCACAGCTCCCCTGGAGATGCAATGCTCTCATTTTCAAACGGGTGTCACCCCTGTGCCTGCATGGTCCCTTAATGCTGCCTGGAGGAGGGAGACACCCTTGCCCCACTTCTCTCAGCAGCTAAGGTGGTCTCTGCCACTGGTAACACATTTCTTGATGAAACCCACAAGGCGAGCCTCAGATTGAACTGAAAAAAAGATGTTTGTGCTCATTGGAACAAGCATTTCTTACAAAGATAGCAGCAGGTTCCCAGCTGGGTAGGCTGCAGGTCAGCTGAGTGCAGCCACATAAAAAATGGTAAGCCTCAGTCCACGCTGACAGGTTTTTCAATGTGAAAAAAAATGGAAAATGGCATAAAATATCCTCAGAAACCTCGCCTTTTTTGAGGATCTCTAAGAAGAGGGTGAACTCCTTAGAAAAGCTGGCATCAGTGGGATGAGTAACAAGGGTTATGCAGCAGAAAGCTGGGAAATGATTTGCGAGATGCAGTAATGATGACAAAAAGCACCAAGGAAAATCAAGAGTGCAAACCCTATTAAAAAAAAAAAAAAAAAAAAAAAAAAAAAANAAAAAAAAAAAAAAAAAAAAAAGAAGAAAAAAGAAAAAAAAATAGAAAAAAAAAAGATGTGACATGTCTGAAAGCAGCCCGTGGTTTTGGAGGGCCAGTTTAGCAATCCCTGCTGCAAGACGGTATGAGAAGGCAAACACAGCCTCTGGGAGATCATCACAGCCCTCCTGCACTGGACTGGAAATGTGATGGGATGCAGAGCCCTAAGGCTCACTGCAAAACGCTGCTCCACATGTGAAAGAAAACCCCTTTAAAAATGGCGTGCAGGTGCTAAAGCAATCATGCTGAAACCAGATTTTCCAAAGGGATTAGGCAGCTAGAGATTCATACAAGCAGCTATTTATCAGTATTTTCAAGGCCCTGGTGATTTCTTGTCAATGAGAGTTAAGTTTGATATTTTTATCCTCTTGTTTTCCTTTCTGTCTGGGGAGGTTCTTTTGGTCTCAAACAAGCTAATTTTAGACAACAATGAGATCCATAGGGAACAAAAGATTTTCTTTGCCGTATATCACAAACTTGTTTACAAAGTAAATAGAGAACGGTCTGTAATTTGAGCAATCTAATTAATTACACGATTGCAGCCTGGAGATAAAAGGTAAATGAGCACATGAGGAGCTCGGCCTCCAGCTATGAGCTGCAGAGAATTAGTGATGGCCAGGTCCCCTTTCAGCTGCCATCACCTGGTCAGTGACCTGAAGTGAAGAGAGACCTGCAAAGACAAGTCACTGGGATTTTAATCACTCCTCACTGTAGTGCAAGTGCTACGGCAAGAATGCCTGGAGTGAACCTTCTCCCACCCTTACCGAAATACTCCCAGGCACTCACTGACAGACTGCTAGCCTGCCTGAAATCCCAGCTTCACCGTCTCCATCCTCTTTGCCTAGAAATCGCCTCGCAGTTTTGGGCAGGGGATGTTTATTTTGGTTCAGTGAGCGTTTTTGCTTTGCACGGGGAAAGAAGAATGGATTCTGTAACGGGCAGGAATTTGCATTTCGGCAGGAATGTCTAAAGCTAAGTACATTTTGCCTGGCCTTTGGAAAAAGAGAGCACACAGGAAATTACTGTGGAAAGCTCACATGGATGCAGTCTCAGGCATTTTTAACAGAGAAATTAATGCTACTTTAAGATGAGAAATGAGTCAGAATCAGCTAAGAAAACCCTCTTAAAACATCTGTCTCATTCTGTGAAATGCCGTCATTTTATTCACTTTTTAGAGTACAGTTTTAGAAGTTTATTATCTTAAGAACCAAAAAATCGCACTGTTAGGTCAAGCCAGCTGTGGTTTGAGTCTGTATCCTGTCTCCAGTGACAGGGGTAGGACGAATTGGCATTACTGATCTCAGCCAGTGCCAGCTACACACAACAAGGAAAAAAAAATCAGAAATACTTAAGTTCCCTACATGTTATTGTACAACTCCAGTTGGACTCATTCCCCCAGAGGTATAGCAAGGAATAACAGATGAACCTGACCAAGCCCAGAAATGCCATCTCCTTCTGATTCAGCCACACTCCATAGCCAAATTTACTTTCATTTGTAAACTGAATTTATAGTTTACAAATTAGCATTTAATTTTTAAATCATGGTTCACGTTCTTTAAACTTCAAGGGCTTCTCCGGACAAAAATGAATTGGGAAAAGATGCAAAGAGTAAAAGCTAGGGTGCCTTAAGTCCCCTCTTAGGATCCCTGTTTGGAAGGGAAGTGCCTTAGTTTGTTCAGATGCATGATTCACATGTTATGATGTGCACAAAACTCAGTTATTGAAGTCATCATCAAGAGAAACTGCACTTTTTGGGTTGACTGGGAAAAGAGCTGTGAAGGCTTTGTGTGTGGAAGGGGATAGAACATCATCCTGTCCTTACACATCACTGACAAGGATGCAGCTTGTCTCTAGTCAAGTGTGTGGGGAAATAGTTAGAGGGTAGGCAAAACTGATGATTATTAAATTATGGCCAGGGATACATAGTCAGGCAAATAAGGAGATATGAACCATGCCCAGACAGCAACTGACCCAGAGGAAGAAGAGAAACAGTTGGATTTGGAAAAGGTTTGAGGTATCAGCGAGTTCCTACCATGACACAAGAAAAGCCCCAGCAGGATATATAAGGAAGAGAAGAACAAGTGCCCTCATCAATGTGCAAGTGAAGAAGCATGCTCTGGGTCTCCTGTGTGCAGCCCAACCCTCTCATCCATCAGTAATTTTTAATTGTTGGGAAAAAGGTTAGGATACACACACACCTTAAAATCGCTAAGTAAAATCAAGAAGGAGCTTACTTTTTCTGGCTAACAACAAACAATTGTCTTCTGCTCTGAAGAGCTTACAGCTCAAAGAGAAATGACAGACAAGGAAAAAACATTTGCAGTGAGGGGGATGGAGAGATTAAGTGAATTGCCAAAACTCCCAGATGTATCTTATGACAAGTAGTGTGTTGGACATTAAGTCCCAGGGTTTTGACCCTGTGGAGCTGAGACTACCTGAAAGCATCCAATATCAAATTAGGAGGTGAATCCTCACTGTTTTGTGATCAAAAGCAATGTGCTTTCAGTAATTTGAGACAAGCCTTGTCTACAGATGTCATCCTATTTGAAATACATCAGCAATCACGGAAAATGGGTGAGATTTACCTATGGGAAGTCCAGCAAAGACCTTGACTATGAAAACTTCCATTACTCCCGGGAACTTCATCAGGCGCAGGATTTCTGTGATGCTAAACAAGCTGCCAGACCGTGATGTGCCTGCAGAAGATGACATAGGGATTAATACTCTGTTTATACAGGTTAAGGGTAGAAAGCAGGAAGCTCTGAGACTGCTCGGGTTCGCCACCCAAACCCCACATCTCTGCTGTACCAGCTTTGTGCCGATGGCAGGAGGTTGGGAGCTGGTGCCAGGTCTGCATGTGGAGGAACCCTCTGGGAGAGTGGGGTTTCCTCCCCTGCCAGACCAAACTCACCCCCAGAAAGGACTCCACAATCCCCTTTTCTGACACACAAGTCTGGGCTAAAAGACTGCAATTCTGCATGGCACAGTGATCAATGTATTTGGAATAATACTCTTCTGCTAGCACAGCTTAGACACTGAAATGTCAGCATCTCAGGGTTGGGACCATTTTGCCCTTTAATGCAACTCCAAGATACTTCAGCAGTTCTTGCAGCATATCAATCCCCTGTCCCTTTTCATGTACTTTTATCAGAAATACAAAATACTCACTGTGCTCTGTCATGTGATGGTCTGACTTTGGTTTAGTCTGCGAAGGGATCCAAACCATTGCTATCAGGGTGTTGATGAGACTTCCCACCAGCCCAACATAGGTAGGAACATAAATGCTGCAAACAGAAAAAATAGTGGTAACTGGATAAATACCATAAACAAGATAATTATGCCTCCATCCTGCAAAGGCTTGGGCATTTGGATGAGGAACAATTCCTCTTCAAGTCGCAGTACATGAGGCATTAGAAGAACTCACACCCTTTCACGGAGGGTTTTAGATATGATCACAGTTTGAAATTTCATTAAAAGATGGCTATTGCCACCAAGATAGTTTATAATTTTATTAATAATAGAGTATAAGACAATGCTTTTAAATCTCCAAGTGTCAGGGGAAAAGAGCTTTTCTTGGTTTAATGAAGGTTAGAAATCTTCCCAAAGAAATCACAGCATCTGCTTGTTAGAATCCATCTAATCCCTGTCTAATCCCCAGTTTCATTCATCTGAGTATCTTCTCACTCCTTGAAATTTCTGACTGAAATAAAATGAATTAAGGAAAGTACTCAAGATGATTAAGGATGGTAGAATACAGCCTACAAGCAGAACTAAACCCACAAGAGAGATGATACCATTTGAAAAGAAGGCATGAAAAATAAAAACACAATTGCAAAACCTCCTGAGAAGGCAAACAGCATTTTGACTTATGCACTTACTTTTCTCCAAAAGTGCCCCAAACCAAACCAATATCAACTATCAACTACCAAACCAACTTCAACTATCCCTCAGAGCTCCAAACATTGAATCTTTAGCAGAAGTAGGGCCACATCCTTGGATGTAGGCACAGTGAATAGCAATTATTAACTATAGTTGTACAACGATAAAAAGGAACAATTACAATTTATCTAAAAAACACAAACATGGAAAAGTCAACAGAGCCAGTAATTAGTCCTCAATTATCACTGTTCTCTTAAAAGAGAAGATTAGGAAATAACTCCTCCTAGTCTTTAAGGGTATGTTGGAAGTTTCCACACTCTAAAGGCCTTTAATTTTGACAAATACAGTAGAGCAAAATCCAGGGCTGCAAGACTGAAACTGAGGGAAGTCAAGCTGAAAACAAAGAGAGAAGCTTGTTTTAACAGTGAGACCAATTATCCACTAAACCAGCTCATTAAAAGTCTCCCCCATCATGACAACCCACTTAGTTGTAGGGTTTCCTAAAACATGTGCTTAAAACCAACCACGGGAAGCAGGTTTGGGCTGGAAATGCCCAGCAGAAACAACAAAAGCTGGCGTCATGTAAGGCACAAGATGAAGTGACCAGCATGGTGCCTTGGAGGCATCAAAATTTAAGCACTTTGGACTTCAGCAAAGTAACGCCTGGATTTCAGCAGGCCTTTGAATTTTTGCAGATCCATGCAGACTTGGAGGTGAGTGTGCCATCCCTGCATTCCCGGCAACCTGTGCTGCCAAAAATTATATGCAAAAGTGAGCTGTGAGCCCCCAGCTGATGCTCCCTGTGAGCCTGCTGATGAGAGACGGCTTATTGCCTGTTTTTTTACTGCTGATTTCCTTGTCAGGATATGGTGTATGTTTTTCATGGAAGAACCAGCAGCACCAATTGTAAAAGCCTCAAGTTTCCTCCATGCTAGACAAAGGTTCAGTCTGAATAATTTCTGGAGCATTATTTAAGTCACAGAGCAAGACAGCAAGGATTGAGATACAAACAAGCAAGAAAAGCATCAAAGAACAAATATAAATATATATATATATACACACATATTCCCTCTAATAGTAACAGCAAAAATTCCAGCTGAATATTTTAATTCTCATTAATTATTATTAAAAAAACAAAGCCAGATAATATCTTTCTGCAAAAGGACTTAGCACAGTAATTTAGACCTGCTGCCTTCTACCCATCAAGCTGCTTCACTAATTAACTCAGACCACAAAATTAGTCATTTACTGGATCATTATTTTCATTTTTAGTGCAGCAGATTACTACTTTCTAAATTAAAATTATATGCCAAGCAGTTCCCAAACTACTGAAATCAAATTTGTGACAAAATTTTTATCCAAGACATCCAGAATTTCTACTTTGCATGGCAACATAAAGTAAATTTACTAAGAAAATAAAAAGGACAAAATAACCAAAATAAGTATCTGCAACTGGCTAAATGTGTGTGGGTGGTTGGGGGGTTTTTTTAGTTTTTTGTTTTTGTGGGTTTTTGTTGGTGGTGGTGGATTTTTTTGGGGGGGGGTGTTGTTTGTTTGTTTTTTTTTCTGGGGGTTTCTATATTTCAAGTTTTCATTCTGATATGTAAAAAACACATCTCAAAGTTTTTCATCAGCCAGAAAAACTTCCTTTCCAGTCCTACTTTTTCCTGAGGTTGTCCAGAATCCCACATACCAATGTAAATATGTTTTACTCTTCACATCCAAGAAGAATTACAGCAAGCAATGAGAGAAGGATCCCTCTGTAAAACAATAAGCAAACAATGCCCTTTGCTTACTTCACTGCAAGCATAGGACTGTTAATTCACTGCTGTGAAAGGAAGAGGAGAACTTTGACAATTTACATGTTTGAGAAAACTTGGGCTTGATAAAGTAAATTTGTGGAATTTCATATGGCTGGTTGCTGAAATCAGAGAAATCCAGTTAAATATGGAACTCAAAACTGTTTCCCAGACAAGCTTGAAGCATTCAAAGTCATCTAAACATCTTTTTTCCTAAGCTCATCTTTCTGTAAGTGCTCCATCTATTTCCACACATTAAGCACTGTCATTCCTTGATTTATGGAAAGGTGAGGAAGGTACACACTCCACTTAGCTGCTCTGCTATCTCATCCTTCAGCAGGGAAAGAGCTGAAATTTCACATAACTCACCTGTGTCCTGGAAACCACCTTTTGCATTTGTTTGTTGGCTCATTTAAGAGAGATGAAGTGAAACCAAGGGAGGTGGTAGGAATGCTTTGCTGGGTTAGTAGCACCTGCTGAACAAGAGCTGGCTCATGGTCACTTGTCTGTTTTTTATATTTTAAAATTGAAACATGAACTCCCATCTCTGCTGGTATCAACCAGAGTCCTTTTGCATTCAGTTCTGTGTGTCTGGCTTATCAGGAGGAAGCCTCACCAGGAAGAGATGCAGTGGCACTATTAAGATAAATGTAGTACATCAAGTAGGTTGTTCCCGTGGGGCCTTTTCCCATCCTCTTCCCCTTCCTGCTCTCCCTCTCATCCCTCCTGGCTGTCCACAAACCAGCCATGTGGAACCAGAGTGAGCCCTGCCAAACCCAGCAGCAGATTTCCTGAGCAGGGTGGAAGAACAAAGGCTGTGGGCAGGACTAATACAATTAAATTAAATGGAGCAAAAGAGCACAGCAGATTTGGCAGCTGAGCTCATTGCATGGCCTCTTCCAGCTTCTTGTTGATTAATGAGAGATTAGGGGCCTGTACTGTCCTGGGCTTTATGGTCAAAATAACTTGGGTAACTTTATCTGTGTACTTCAGCATGTTATTTATAATTCCTCTGCTTTTTAATCTGTTGAGAGAGCCCCTTCCTGACTTTTGTCAGCAGCCTCTTTGGTCTTCCCTGGGGACTTCTGCTAGCAAAGCTTCTTTCAGTTGTCACCTAATACTACAGCTGCCCACTATTCTTTTTGTTTTTTTCAGCCTTGCCATGAAGCAGAGGAATAAAGTGCATTTTCCTATCCTGCATGGGACTGATGTATCCCAAGCTCCTGCTGTCAGGAGGATGCAAAGATTTTGGCTGCAGGGAGCAAACACTTGAATCTAGGACTAGGAGGAACTAGGGTCAAGGAGGGCTAGTTTTTGCCAACATGACTAGCTGCAGCTTGTCCCAGCTTAAAACTTTCAGAGAAACAGGAAGAGAACATGAGCAGAGGGACCTGGAGGCCAGGAGCCCGTAACATCAGCCAAGCACTGCTTAACAACCTAACAAAAGCCTCTCCTTTCCACTTCCCTGAAGCCAACAGGTAAAATGTGGCAAATGCATTAAAAGCATCCTTTCAAAAAGTTTTAAAGGGATTCAAAAAGTGGGATGGCCACTTGCCTCAGGAACCGAGGTGTGGCCCAGTGCAAGGCTCACTTGGCAGCCTGTGGCCATGGAGAAGGGACAAGTGTCTGGAAGCTAGGATTACCTATCTGGAAACTCCATCCTCAGTGCTGGTGGGAAAGCAGAATTGATGACAAAACCATTTATAGTAATGTACTGGTAAACAGATTGACCCCTAGAAAATCCTAGGATCCAAAGCCAGCTGGAGGAGGGTTGCATTTCTTCCCATCTAACACTTAACCAGTCCCTGTATTCACTGCCAGGTAAATCCCAACCTTCACCACACCTCCCAAGGGCAGCAAAGTGAGGAGCTACTCCATGTTCCTTCACAACCTGTTCCCATCAGGGTCAATTAGCATGAGCCAAATGAATGCAATCGGAGTTCAGTTTCTAAATTAAGAACGACAGGAACACAGCAAGGGCTCCCAAAGGTTTCCCAACTCCTGTCACCTGCCCCTGAAGTCAGAGGTAGCACATGTGAAGGATCTGAGAAAACCTGGCAAACTTTAGAGCAAATGCAGCTCTTGGAAAGCAGGGCCTGGCCCAACAAGTATGCGTGGGTGTATATAGGTACATCCATATGTACAAATATGTGTGCAGAGCATTTCACAGTAGCTCTGAAGCAATGCTTTTAGCAAAACTTCCATGAAAAACTCAATCCCACAAAGGCATGTGCATCATGCAGACATCAGGCAGTGGACTAGGAGCAGGAGAGAGGCCACTGGCCAGGCATTCGCAGGCATATTTCCAGGCATGTTTTCAGCTCCCAGGCAGGGAGCCTGAGCAGAATCCCAGCTGGTACCTGCCAGCCACAGCTCCCAGGCAGTGCCAAGCAGGGATTGGGCACCAGAACCTCCTGCTTCCACCAAGGGCAGCTACAACAAACCAACAGAGGCCACAGTTTTGGGCTCCAGCCCAAATTCCAGTCCTTGCTCGGCTGCAATTCCCATCTTTGATGTCCTGTCTGAGAAGCCTGGGACAGACCGTGGAGGCAGGTACCTAGGGGCTGCTGCCAGCCAGGAGGCTTCATTCAGGCTGTGTGTGCCAC